TCCCTCCCGATTGAAAACAACAACGCGGCCTCCGCCGCGACCGCTCCACAATGCACTTCCGCACCTTTAGTATTTCCACTTCTGCACTGCACCTCCTCTGAGTCTCAGTATGGATTTCTCTTTCCTTCTAGTTGTAGGATTTCCACTCAGCCAGCCTTCCTGTGGTTCTGGGTGATGTCCGTTCCGTCTTTTAGTTGTATTTTTGAAGTGGTTGTTCGAGGCAGCAAACTCCGGCGTTAACCTATGCCGCCATCTTGGTTTCTCGAACATGCCATTCTTAATGCATTCAGTCAGGTTTGGGATTTCTTTACAGTCTTTGGAGCACAGTTCTCATCTTCGTACTTTGCCGTGCCTTTCAGTTCCCCCAAGGCTGGTCTGTCGGCATTCAGAGCCTCTGGATGCTTGTTCACTTTCTTTTCTAAAAAGTTATTCACCCTAGGTACATTTTAGCAGCAGTTACAGTGTTCCTTTTTCAGTTTTCCAGAGTGTCAGAAAATGCACTGCTGATAGTTTTATCCATTATAGCCAGTCTTTACTATTTTGATTTCTCCCATAGAACATTAGACTCCATGATCCCTCATTAACTGGAATACCTGGATTGGGCAGATATTGGGCAAGAGCATTGCTGAAGTCAGGCTTTAGGCTACCTTCAAACTCCAGGATGACCCCTACCATTTAGATTAAAGCAGCATGGTGGAGTGGAAAAGACCCAGGAAAGGGTCAAGAGACTTGGTTCTACTGCTTACCATTCTTGTGGACCTTAAGCAAACTGCTTAAACTCAGTGAGGGTGATGGGAACATCTTGGTTTCTTTATTTGTTAAATTGGGGGGTGAGACTGGGTGCCACTAGAATCGGGCCGTTCCTAGTCATTTTGCTTTTGTTGGAGGTCCAGATGGCAATTCTTGGCCCTAGCTCATATCCACTCATAGGAGCTAAACGCAGACTAACGCCAAAGCCCTAGTGCGAACCCCAGTTATCTTGTGGCTCCGTAAAGCCTGGGGTCTCAGGAACTGTGACAACTTCGACTTGCTTCCAGTATGAGAGGGTCATCATAATTCCCACAGATCCCAAAGCCAGGAAGTAACTTTCTGGAGATTTGAACCCAGTTCTAAATTCATGTGTGTTTTTTCTGTATCTATTGCTTCCTCCACAGAGTAAAGATACCAGCACTGATGATTGTATTATCTGTGATGGAGTAGAGATACGGCTTATAAAAGCAGAAATTACAGTAGGCACATAAAAACCCTCTGAAAACTATCACATGAACTACTTTTTTTGTTTTGTTTTGTTTGTTAATCCTCACCTGAGGACATCCCTCCATTTACTTTTAGAGTGGAAGGAATGGAGAGACATAGAGAGAGAAACATTGATGTGAGAGAGACACATCGACTGGTTGCCTCCTATACCCGCCCCAAACAGGGCTGGGGATCAAGTATGCAACCGAGGTATTTGCCTCTGACTGGAATCGGACCCGGAACCTTTCAGTCCACGGGCCGATGCTCCATCCACTGAGCCCAAACAGCTAGGCCTCATATGAACTTATTTTCTTACTGATTTTTCCAGATATCCTTAAGCAGTCATAAAATAGGCACAGTGTAAAGAATAATTATATATCAAAATTCAAGTGGCCACCACCCAGGTTAACAAACAGAGCACTGCCAGCACCTCAGACCCTATGCGCCTCTCCCGGGTCAAACCTTCTCCCTCTTCCGTAGAGGTAACCACCATTCTAAATTTTGAGATAGGCATTTGCTTGTTTTTCTTGGCAGTTTACCACCTATGATTTATCCCTATATATAGTTTAGTTTTGCCTGTCTGGGGCCTTTTTGTAAATGAATCATATATATTATATATGTATATATATCATATATATAATATATACATATATTATATACACATATACACACTCTTGTATTTTGTTTCTTTTGCTCAGTATTATGTTTGTGAGATCCATCCATGTTGTGTTGTATAACTAGAGTTCATTCATTTTCATTGCTTTATTTTACTCTTTTGTATAAATAGACTACAACTTATTTATCCATCCTACTTTGATATTTAGGTTGTTTCCAGTTTGGGGTTGTTACAAACAGTACTATTCTGAACATTTTTATACATGTCTCCTGGGGCACATGTAGTTTCTCTGGGTATATACCTAGGAATGGAATTGCTGGTCAGAAGGGATGCATATTTTCAGCCAACTGTGATTATTGAGTTTACTTTTCACTGGAGCTTTTAACACATACATTTTTAATGGAAAGTTAAAGTCTTTTGTTCTCATCTAAAAAGGTTTGTCTTTCCTATAGAAAAATGCAAGAATGGCAGCAGAAAAGCATTATTCTAACACCCTAAAAGCACTAGGAATATCTGATGAGTTTGTTTCAAAGAAAGGCCAAAGTGGAAAAATATTTGAGTCCTTCAGCAATCAAGAGATGAAAAGTTTCACTGAAGATAAAGAAAGGTAACATATATAAAATGTCTGAATGGTATACCTCTGAAAAAATTCTTACTTGCAAGAAAGTAAAAATTCTGTTCTATAATATTTTAAAATGAACTTTACCTAATGAAATACATGTGAACTGTTGTAAAACATATTGATATTTTTGACACATTCCCATATTACATGGTGATGAAATACCTTGTTTTTAAGCAGAATAATTTAAGTTCTGAATGGCATAAATAATGAAAATAACAACATGCTTTCAAGCGAAGTTTAAAGAGTAAACCAAGTTTTGAAATAAATGAGTTCTCAGAGGAATATTTACTTTCCCAATTGGCACTTTTATAGCGTTTTCTTGATAAATTGGAGCTCATACACTTGAGGAAGACTGACTTCATGATGACATACATTGCAAAGGGTTTGTTTACCTTTAAACAAATCATTTTTCCTTTGAAAGATTGATACATTTTTCCCTCTAGCTTTAATGAAGAAGAAAATATAGAAGAAAGAGAGAATGGGGAAGAAAATTATTTTACTGAAACCAACAGCCAGGATTCTTGTAAGGAAAATGAAGCCGAAGCCGAAGAAGAAAGTGGAGAAGAGAAATCTGTTGAAGAATAAAACAGAATCAGCAGGGCCTCCTTTCTGTGCCTGTGCTGTTATTTGCAGCATCCGGTGTTAGCAGCTTTGCTTGTTTTGTTAGGAACATGGATGGGAAGGAACCCTTCTGATCTGTGCAGGGCTCTTTAGCAAAGTTATTTGTAGCCAAAAAGGCAAATCCAGCTGATTAGTCATTTAGTCTGAGTACGGCTTTGCCTATTCAGTTTTTTAAATTGCTACATGAGCTCTGTTTGCAACTTTGCTCTTACTTGTATTTTTTAAAAGCAGTTGAGAATCAACAGCTGTCACAAACTGATTAGTTATTATGTCATTATTTTTTGGTAGAAAAAAATGGTTTAGCATTGAGAGCAGAGAAAAGTATTGTCCTTTGGTGATTTGTTTGAAAAAAATTTTCTGGAAAGCATGACTCAATACATATTTTAAAATTGTACTGTTTGCCCATTCTTTTTCTCTGCAATACATCTCACAAAATGAACCCTCACAGTTGTTTTACTAGTTAAGTTTATCTGAACCATTTTTATTTTTATTTAATTTTTAAAATCTGGACCATTTTTTAAAAAATAATAAAATATAGAAAAAATAGGTACTTGCAAATTTACATTTATTTCTGCACTGAAAGTTTATTATTAAATTATCCACCCTATTATCAGTTTTTCTTTTTATCTCTAGTTTTATTCTAAATTATTTTTGACATAGAAATTATTATAAGTTTTTATACGTATTTTTTAACCTTGTGTATTATGACAGATATAAATAATTATAGCATTCTGAATTATAATCTTAATAAATATCAAGCTGGTTTTAAATGAGATGAAATTGTGCATAATAACTTGTCCAAGGCAAGTCTCCAAAGTAATTCAGGCTTATCTCTTTAATACTAGAACCAGAATGTTCAATTTTTTACATATTATTGCAGACACACTTTGTCTTTCTGAGAATGATGTTAATTTGATTTTATGACTATCATTTTTCCTCTGTAAGCAAATTTTTTGTTGTAAAAATTTAAACCAGTCATAAAGATGTGATAGAGTGAGACATTTTCTTTTATAAAAATAATCAACTTATAAAGAGTATTAACTAATAAAGGTATATAAAAGCAGTATTTACCTACTGGAAATTTATGCTTTAAATGAAGAAATAAGGTGATTTTTCCTAATTAAGGGCAAATGTTTCTTTGCTATCCCTTTTTTATAGTTTGTGTTAAACTATTTGTCACTACCATTAGATTGTAAACTCCTTGAGGGTTGGCATCATTTTAAAATCCATCTTTGTGTTCCTTTAATATTTTGCACAAGATTGTGCATATCATAGGTACTTAATAAAGGTTTGGATGAGTAAGTAGATGAATATGTTTTTATTTTATTAAATTTATTGGGGTGATATTGGTCAACATGAACATATAGGTTTCAGGTATGAATATGTTTTTTAATTATACTTATAGTTACTTTAAAATAAGTACACATGGGATTAAAAACATTTCCCTTCCAACTTATTGAGAACCTGTGAAACACAATTCATAAATTGTAATTTTTTTTTTGTATAGAAGAATATTTATTTGGTAAATCACAGAGGTACAGCAAGGATGGACCGGCTCCCGGCAGGAAACTAGTTATAGAGGTAAAGGGATGGTCCTTGGAGCTTGGAAGCCAGGAAGCTAATGGTAATGTGCCTGGAGCCAGAGGATGAGGAGGGGGAGAAAGGGAAAGGCATGGGCATGACCCCAGGAAGGAGAGCACCCACAAATTGTAATATTTTAAATGTGGCTTACTCTCAAGGATTTGCTCCTCATCCATCCCTTCTCAGTTTCATGGGGAGAGCGAAGGACTTGGTTTCAGAAGCAATGTTCAGTTTTCTTTAAAAATGGGAATAGTACCCATCCTGAGTGGCTATAGGAAGAATTAGATGTGTGGAAAAGCTCTTTGCAAACTAGGCTGTTCAAATGACAGTGTCAGAGGACAGACTATTCCTGAAAAAACATTTAACTTTCTGCACCTTTAGAAAAATGAACTACAAAGTGATTTAAATATTATTTTGTTAGAAATAATATGTGATCCACTTTTTGAAGAGAGTGATCTGGTAAATACAGAGCCAAACTTAGAAGATACTGGTAATTTCAAGTAATTCTATGCAAAATCATTTTTTTTTAGAAAGCTATTAAATTGACAACTGAAAGATTTCTTTAGTGTGTGGCATCTTACAATAGAGGAGATAAAAGTTGAGAAGAAAAATAATAAAATCTGGTGTATATAACTGTCAAAAATCAAGGAATAATATGCATGCTTATATTCAAGTCTGAAAAGATGGTAATGTAAAAAAATGGTAATGGAATTTGCCTCTGGGACAAGCAGTGGAAGACTTAGTTTTTGTTTTCCCCCCTTTCAACGTGTTTATTAAAGAAAAATGTAAATGAGGCTTTAGTCTTGTTGGAAGCTACTTTCTAGTCATTGATTTATAGTATCCTGATAGCAAGAAAAATAGTTATATCTTTCTTTATACTAAAAAAAATACTTATACATTTTATACAGTTTATTTGAATCATGATACAAATATTGCAGTTGGTTACTAAGTCTCAAGTCTTTGTTTGTTTGCTTTTTGTTATTTTTCCTTTCTTTATTGATTAAGGTATTATTAGTACATATGTGTCTTATCCCCCTATTGCCCCCGCCCACCCCCTCCCCTGCTCATGCCCTCACCCTCCTGGTGTCTGTTTCCATTGGTTATGTCTTAAGTCTCTTTTTAATATATCTTTTATTCCTTGCAATATTGTCTTTGAAGGGACCAGTCTTTTGTACTGTAGAGTATCTGCTCTGAATTTTGTCATTTAATGTGTTTCTCTGTTCTCTGTGTTTCCTATAAATTAGTAGAGCTAAGCTTGATCAGATTCAAATATGATGTTTTTAGCAAGAATACTTCATAGGTCATGGTGTGCATTTCCATTGGGAAGTACACAATGTCTAATGATCTGTTGTGCTGTTATCCACCATTGATCATTGCTACAATTACTGTGCCAATGTCTTGCCACTCATTTCAGACTTGCCAAAAACCATGAAGTCTTAGTTGTTACAAAAAGAAAAAAAATGGGGGGTGAGAGAATTGAATGAAGATGGTCAAAGGTACAAACTTCCAGCTATAAGATGAACAAGTACTAAGGATGTACAACATATGATTATAGTTAATACAGCTGTATGATATATTTGAAAGTTGATAAGAGAGTAGATCCTAAAAGTTCATCACAAGGAAAAAAACAACCCATTTTTTAATGAAATGATGGGTGGTAACAAAAGTTATTGTGGTAATAATTTCACAATATATGTAAGTCAAGTTGGCATGTGATATATCTCTTAAATTTATATGGTGCTATATGTCAGTTTTATCTCACAACTGAAAAAAAATCTAAAAAATATAAGGAAAAATAACTAGCATAAATATTCTAAACATTAGTGTATCTGCTTTTATAACAAGGAAATCTTACAACCCCAAAAGTTATTCTTCAACTTCTCTGCTTCCTTTCACATTCTTCCTGATACCATGAGGGTCTTGTTTTCCTTTTTGGAATCTGTAGCTCTTATCTTATCACCTAATTTTATTGTAGCTGTTAACGGATTATTTTTTATTTTGTCATTGTCCTTTTCTATGGGGGCATACAGGAAGATTCAAACACTAGACTACTATCACTACCATCTTCCCAGAAAACTCTCAAGACTTAGTTTTCCTGTCTCCTTTTTGAAGAAATTATTAAAATAAAGTATTAGACTAGGAGTAAAAGTTTTAGGTCCCTTCTATCACTTAAATGAAATGAAATAAAATGAAAAGATGGTGGTGATAAATGCAAGTGCTACAGGAAAAAAAAAGGATAAAAAGGAGATGATGGGCAGGATAGTGACCTTCAACAAAACCCTCACAGGGTGGGCCCTGTGGATATCAGAGAGGAAATACTTCCGGGAGAGAACAGTCAGTGCTTGGGAGGGGTGAGCGGGGAAGGAGGAAGAGGGGCTTGGGATGTCTGAGGAACAGCAAGGAGTCATTATGACTGGAGCAGAGGGAAGAGGAGGAAAAGACACAGAAGATGAGGTCAGAAAGGAAGGAGGTTGGGGATGGGGCATAGAGGAAGGGATCTTGGAGGCTCTTGTAAGGATTTTGGCTTCTTTGTGTGGCCAGCTACTAGGGGTTTTGACTAGGATGACAATTGGATAACATTTAGGGCAGGGGTGGGCAAACTTTTTGACTCGAGGGCCACAATGGGTTCTTAAACTGGACCGGAGGACCGGAACAAAAGCATGGATGGAGTGTTTGTGTGAACTAATATAAATTCAAAGTAAACATCATTACATAAAAGGGTACGGTCTTTTTTTTTTTTAGTTTTATTCATTTCAAACGGGCTGGATCCGGCCCGCGGGCCGTAGTTTGCCCACAGCTGATTTAGGGTCTTTCTGCCGCTGGGTGAGAATGGTCTGTAAGCAGCAAGGGCAAAAGAAAGGTGGTCACTTAAGAGGCTTTTTCAATAGCCTATATTGCAAACCCAAGTGTTTCTAATTTCAAAGCCAGTTCTTCCACTAACCCTTCTGTACTAACGTGGTCATAAGATTGAATATACTTCTAATGTATGGGTAGTTATTTCCCCCAAACCCCTATTATCCTATATATCTTATATAATAAAAGCCTAATATGCTAAGTGTCCAACCATTCATTTGACCGTTCGACCAGTCGCTATGACGTGCACTGACCACTAGGGGCCAGACACTTCAACTGGTAGGTTAGCTTGCTGCTGGGGTCCGGCCAATTGGGACTGGGAGAAATGGGCCGTACACGCCCTAGATCAGTGGTTCTCAACCTTCCTAATGCCGTGACCCTTTAATACAGTTCCTCATGTTGTGGTGACCCCCAATTTCATTGTTACAAATTGAACATAATTAAAGCATAGTGATTAATCACAAAAACAATATGTAATTATATATGTGTTTTCCAATGGTCTTAGGCGACCCCTGTGAAAGGGTCATTCGACCCCCAAAGGGGTCGCGACCCACAGGTTGAGAACCGCTGCCCTAGACGGATCTGTGCACTGGGCTGGTTTCAGCCAGATCCCTGCAGGCCAGGCCAAGGGACCCCACTGGTGCATGAATCCGTGCACCAGGCCTCTAGTATTACAAATAAGCCATGAAAATATCCTTTTAAAAAATATATTTTATTTCAGAGAGGAAAGAGGAGGGAGAGAGATAGAAACATCAACGATGAGAGAAAATCATTGATTGGCTGCCTCTTGCATGCCCTACACTAGAGACAGAATCCCACGCATGTGCCCTGACTAAGAATGGAACTGTGACCTCCTGGTTCATAGAGCGATGCTCAACCACTGAGCCACACCAGCCAGGCAAAAATATTCTTTTAAAATAAAAATCCTCTTAAAACCTACACATTACAGTTTTAAGTATATAATATTTGAAATTCTTTTATTTTTCTATTAGAAGCCACTCCCACCAAAGAAGGGAAACTGACTTGCTTTAGTAATAGCATTGAGAAATTTAAACCAGCCCTTACAATTCAGCATACTAGACTGAAAACAGCAGTGCTGTCATTTTGTGAAGGTTTTTCTTTGTTGTTCTTATAATTAGAAAATAACCAATGGGTTGCAGATATGATCTTGAAAAAGTGATATTATTGCAAGAAAAGGATGTGGTAGAGACTGCCAGTTGTTTGGCCAGTAAGTATTTTCCCTTTCTTCCTTACTATGAGTCCTCTACTTTTGCTGAAGGTGGCAATATGTCCAACTGGAAGAAAAAACTATTTTCCAAATTATATTGACCATCCTGGCTAGAGAGAAGTAAGTAGGGTTTTCAAGGAAAGGCCTTTAGAAGGGAAACACTTGGTTGGCTTGGCCTTTTGATCTTTGCCTTTTCTCTTTTCCTTCTTCCTTTCTGAAACTTGAATGTGATGCTTAGAGCCAGAGTAGCTATCTTATAATCATGAGGAAAAGGCCAAGGGAAATCTGAAAAACTTTGGCTCCCACACCTTTAATATTAGCAACTGCCACAGAATCAATACTAGTAACTGCCAACCTCCAGACTAGGTGTTATCTCGTTGCTTTTTTAATCTTTTTAAAAAATTGATTTCAGAGAGGAAGAGGGGGAGAGAGATGGAAACATCAATGATGAGAAAGAATTACTGATCAGCTGCCTCCTTCACACCCCACACTGGGGATCGAGACTGTAACCTGGGCATGTGCTCTGACCGGGAATTGAACTGTGACCACCTGGTTCATAGGTTGACACTAAACCACTGAGCCACGCCAGCTGGGCAGGTGTTATCTTGTTTAAATCTCAGTTGAATGTGTGTGTGTGTGTGTATGTGTGTGTGTATG